GTAAATGTCAGAGGTAACAGTTTATAGTTTTTTTAACCCAAAAATGCCTCTGATCTTTATGGACTATTTATTTTCAAGAATGACTGGGTTGTTCTGGTTATTTTATTACAGTCTGATGAAATTTTGCAGGTTTTTATAATAATTTTGATTATCTTTATCTACCGTAGTGTCTTTAATTTTCATTGGGGATAGATTTTGAAAATTGCTTCATACAAAAAAAATTAAGGATTTTTTTTTAAGGGATGCGGGTTTGGTTTTTTTTCCTATTTCTTCTATTCTTCACAATAATATGACAGTTTTTGATCTTTAAAATGGTATATATGTTATTAACAGGAGACGTTGGTGTGAACGATGGTTTAGCTGATGGCACAGATGCAACTGAGACAGTGCGGGAGATTGAGGACATGGATTTTGAGGAAGTTGGAGAAATTGTACTCTTAAACGTGAGAAATAGTTAATTGACCTTTGTTTTTGTTTTCGTGAGAAACAGTGTCTGTTGTATGTCTGGAGGATAGTTCATAAGTGTAACCATAATTGAAGCCATACTAATCTCTAGTGATATCCAAATTGATCGGAAAAATCTCTGCTGCACTGCTTTTTCAGACTAAGGTTCAACTACATAAACGTGACACATACTTTGGTAATTTCTAATATAATCATATCTTTGGTGTTAGATTTAATTAACAGATAGATAAGAATTGATAGAATTCTTTCTATATCATCAAAGTAATTGCAATGATTTTAATGTTAAAATATACACCCTTGAATTAAAGAGAAAGCCTCCAGTCTTTGGAAAAATGTATTAATGTTAATCTAAATGTTCACTTTTACTCCTATGTTGAAACTGGATGGACATGTATCCAATTAGTTGACTAAGCTGTATTTTTAATGCTTAGATACCTCTTGATAAGTATTCTTTCTATCTGATCACTTTACATTGTGTCCTCAGATCCAGAATTTGAGAAGGAACTCTTCCCATTTGACATGTGCGGTATGTTATAATATTATGTGCTCAAATAGTGGTAAAGGAAATACAACAAAAAAAGATTTCTGTTTTTGAATATCTCACGTGACTCTAGGGGGATGTAGTTTCTAACTCATCCTGGTGTGGCCTCGACTGGCACGGTAAAAGCAGATCAGAAGGGGTATTTTACTTTAACTTCTGAATATTGAACTCTTTAGAAATGAGTTGAAAATACAGAGAGAAAGGGAGGACGGGAAAGAGAGCTCTTGTAAATGATCAGAACAACTTTCCCTGAATAAAGATTTCTTTTATCATAGTTATTATGGGTAGTTAAGTGGATGCACCACT